CAATTCGTTACTAGTGCAGCACTCCGATCGTGGTGGAGAGCAAATTCACAACTTCCTCCTGCCGTGTCCCTCTCGTCCTCTCCCTCTCTCTGTGTGCCTCCTTCTCCCTGTGCCCAGTCACCGTGTTTGGTCCTTCTCCCTCCTTGCATCCCTCCACTGGAATCAACTTCCCCGGTACATTGAATATCACTGCTACCCATAGACTCAACACTGCCCATAGACTCAACACTGCCCATAGACTCAATACTGCTACCCATAGACTCAGCACTGCCCATAGACTCAACACTGCCCACAAACTCAACACTGCCCACAGACTCAACACTGCTACCCATAGACTCAACACTGCTACCCATAGATCCAACACTGCTCATAGACTCAACACTACCCATAGACTCAACACTGTTACCCACAAACTCAACACTGCCCACAAACTCAACACTGCCCACAGACTCAACACTGCCCACAGACTCAACACTTCTACCCATAGACTCAACACTACCCAGAGACTCAACACTGCCCATAGACTCAACACTGCAACCCATAGACTCAACACTGCCCACAGACTCAACACTACCCACAGACTCAACACTGTCCACAGACTCAACACTGCCCACAGACTCAACACTACCCACAGACTCAACACTGTCCACAGACTCAACACTGCCCACAGACTCAACACTTCTACCCATAGACTCAACATTCCTCATAGACTCAACACTGCCCATAGACTCAACACTGCCCATAGACTCAACACTGCTACCCACAAACTCAACACTGCCCACAAACTCAATACTGCCCACAGACTCAACACTTCTACCCATAGACTCAACACTACCCAGAGATTCAACACTCCCCATAGACTCAACACTGCCCATAGACTCAACACTGCCCATAGACTCAACACTGCCCACAGACTCAACACTACCCACAGACTCAACACTGCTCACAGACTCAACACTGCCCACAGACTCAACACTTCTACCTATAGACTCAACATTGCTCATAGACTCAACACTGCCCATAGACTCAACACTGCCCATAGACTCAACACTGCTACCCACAAACTCACCACTGCCCACAAACTCAATACTGCCCACAGACTCAACACTTCTACCCATAGACTCAACACTACCCAGAGATTCAACACTACCCATAGACTCAACACTGCAACCGATAGACTCAACACTACCCATAGACTCAACACTGCCCATAGACTCAACACTGCCCACAGACTCAACACTACCCACAGACTCAACACTGTCCACAGACTCAACACTGTCCACAGACTCAACACTGCCCATAGACTCAACACTACCCACAGACTCAACACTACCCACAGACTCAACACTGTCCACAGACTCAACACTGCCCACAGACTCAACACTTCTACCCATAGACTCAACACTACCCACAGACTCAACACTGTCCACAGACTCAACACTTCTACCCATAGACTCAACACTGCCCACAGACTCAACACTACCCATAGACTCATCACTACCCATAGACTCAACACTGCCCATAGACTCAACACTGCCATAGACTCAACACTGCCCATAGACTCAACACTGCCCATAGACTCAACACTGCCCATAGACTCAAAACTGCCCACAGACTCAACACTGCCCGTAGACTCAACATTGCTCATAGACTCAACACTGCCCATAGACTCAACACTGCCCATAGACTCAACACTGCACACAGACTCAACACTGCCCATAGACTCAACATTGCTCATAGACTCAACACTGCCCATAGACTCAACACTACCCATAGACTCAACACTACCCATAGACTCAACACTGCCCATAGACTCAACACTGCCCATAGACTCAACACTACCCATAGACTCAACACTGCCCATAGACTCAACACTGCCCATAGACTCAACACTGCTACCCACAAACTCACCACTGCCCACAAACTCAATACTGCCCACAGACTCAACACTTCTACCCATAGACTCAACACTACCCAGAGATTCAACACTACCCATAGACTCAACACTGCAACCGATAGACTCAACACTACCCATAGACTCAACACTGCCCATAGACTCAACACTGCCCACAGACTCAACACTACCCACAGACTCAACACTGTCCACAGACTCAACACTGTCCACAGACTCAACACTGCCCATAGACTCAACACTACCCACAGACTCAACACTACCCACAGACTCAACACTGTTCACAGACTCAACACTGCCCACAGACTCAACACTTCTACCCATAGACTCAACACTACCCACAGACTCAACACTGTCCACAGACTCAACACTTCTACCCATAGACTCAACACTGCCCACAGACTCAACACTACCCATAGACTCATCACTACCCATAGACTCAACACTGCCCATAGACTCAACACTGCCATAGACTCAACACTGCCCATAGACTCAACACTGCCCATAGACTCAACACTGCCCATAGACTCAAAACTGCCCACAGACTCAACACTGCCCGTAGACTCAACATTGCTCATAGACTCAACACTGCCCATAGACTCAACACTGCCCATAGACTCAACACTGCACACAGACTCAACACTGCCCATAGACTCAACATTGCTCATAGACTCAACACTGCCCATAGACTCAACACTACCCATAGACTCAACACTGCCCATAGACTCAACACTACCCATAGACTCAACACTGCCCATAGACTCAACACTACCCATAGACTCAACACTGCCCACAGACTCAACACTGTCCACAGACTCAACACTACTACCCATAGACTCAACACTACCTATAGACTCAACACTGCCCATAGACTCAACACTACCCATAGACTCAACACTACCCATAGACTCAACACTGCCCATAGACTCAACACTACCCATAGACTCAACACTGCCCACAGACTCAACACTGCCCATAGACTCAACACTGCCCATAGACTCAACACTGCCCATAGACTCAACACTGCCCATAAACTCAACACTGCCCATAGACTCAACACTACCCATAGACTCAACACTGTCCATAGACTCAACACTACCCACAGACTCAACACTGCCCATAGACTCAACACTACCCACAGACTCAACACTGCTCATAGACTCAACACTGCCCATAGACTCAACACTACCCACAGACTCAACACTGCCCATAGACTCAACACTGCCCATAGACTCAACACTGCCCATAGACTCAACACTGCCCATAGACTCAACACTGCCCATAGACTCAACACTGCCCATAAACTCAACACTGCCCATAGACTCAACACTACCCATAGACTCAACACTGCCCATAGACTCAACACTACCCACAGACTCAACACTGCCCATAGACTCAACACTACCCACAGACTCAACACTGCTACCCATAGACTCAACACTACCTATAGACTCAACACTACCCATAGACTCAACACTACCCATAGACTCAACACTGCTACCCATAGACTCAACACTACCCATAGACTCAACACTACCCATAGACTCATCACTGCTACCCATAGACTCAACACTGCCCATAGACTCAACACTACCCATAGACTCATCACTGCTGCCCATAGACTCAACACTGCCCACAGATTCAACACTGCTACCCACACTCTTTGGTTCTTTCGGTAAAGTCACGTATAAAGAAAATCAATTAAATAATAGAGTACGACGTTTCGATTGCAACACAGGCAACCGTCATCAGGTAGAACTAAATTTGAGAGAGAGACAAAACACAGACACGGAGGCACACAGACAGACACACAAGCAGAGAGAGACAACACAGACACACAGAGAGAGACACACAACATAGACACGCAGCGACCCAATGCCTTTGTGTCGAGGCCTTAAATAGAGAGAGGGGGGGGGGGCAGAGAGAGAGGTGGGTCTGCTGGGGCAGAGAGATTAACATGTCAATGAATCCACCCCGAAGCGACCGAGGGAGACACGATTGAATGGCTCGATGAGAGCCTGGTAAATTTTAGAGAGAGAAATAGTTTGAGAAAACAAAATGTAGCAAATCTTTTGGAAATGTAATGTAATGCAACATAGACAGTCGGCTTACACACAGTTAACGCATAGCCTGATTGCGAAAATTAAAAGTTAAGTGTCAAATTTGACAAACATAGACAGAGAGAGAGAGAGAAAACTGCTACCCATAGACTCAACACTGCCCATAGACTCAACACTGCTACCCATAGACTCAACACTACCCATAGACTCAACACTGCTACCCATAGACTCAACACTACCCATAGACTCAACAATGCTACCCATAGACTCAACACTACCCATAGACTCAACACTGATACCCATAGACTCAACACTGCTACCCATAGACTCAACACTGCTACCCATCGACTCAACACTGCTACCCATAGACTCAACACTGCTACCCATTGACTCAACACTGCCCATAGACTCAACACTGCTACCCATAGACTCAACACTACCCATCGACTCAACACTGCCCATAGACTCAACACTACTCATAGACTCAACACTACCCATAGACTCAACACTGCTACCCATAGACTCAACACTGCCCATAGACTCAACACTGCTACTCATAGACTCAACACTGCTACCCATAGACTCAACACTGCTACTCATAGACTCAACACTACCCATAGACTCAACACTGCTACCCATAGACTCAACACTGCCCTTAGACTCAGCACTGCCCCTGTACATTGAGCAGTCTCCCTTCCTTAACCTCGGTCCGTTCCTCTCTCGAAGCCTCACGTCTTTTCCATCGCCCATTCCCTTCCTCTTCCCTCCCTTCGCCCCTCCACTCCTTCCCGTCCCTCCCCTGTCGCCCCACCGTGATCCCGAAGCGCATTCTTCTATCGATATCACTCGTTCCTCAACCCTTGCGCGCCATTCTACTCTGCCGCCGTGATGTAAACGGTGACATCAAGCGCCCAGTGAATGCATGCGCTCGATGTATAACACGAACGAGATTATAACAATTACGACGATGATGACGACGCTGCTGCTGCTGATGGCTGTGACGTCACACCGGCGTGCGCGAGCCTCACCTGAGCGGAATGCGCACGGCCAGGTAGCGGTCGAGCGCGATGGCGAGCATGCTGAAGATGGAGCTTTGCGTGAGCACCAGCACGAAGCAGGCGATGAAGAGGCAGAGGTAGAAGTCGGTGGCGAAGCCCACGCTGAGCGTGATGGCGAACGGGATGCCCAGCACGCCGACGGCGATGTCGGCGATAGCGAGCGACACGAGGAAGTAGTTTGTGACGTTGCGTAGGTTCGTGTTGAGCCACACGGCCCAGCACACGAGCACGTTGCCGAGCACGGCGAGCAGAGCGATGAACACCTCCAGGCAGATGTAGGCAGCGTTCAGGGCCGTGTCGCCCTCTTGCTGCTGCTCCTGCTCCTGCTGCTGGTGGTCGCCCGTGGCGTTACAGAGAGGCATCCTGCCGGGCCGGCTCGCATGACCGACTCGCAGAGTCTCCCCCCGGGCTCTCCTCGCTTTGCGGTTCCCGCTTCTCCCCGCGCCGATCCCTCCCCCGCTCTCCTCGACGGGACTCGCCCAGAGACCTCTCCCCGTCGTCCACGCTCACAGACGTCTCCCGTCTCTCCTTCGCGGATCTCTCTCGCTCCCTCGGCTCCCCGACCGCCTCCCCTCTCCCGCCTGTCCGCCACCCGCGTTCCTCCCGCCTCTCCCGGCGTCGCGCGCGGGGTTGGCGGTGACGGCGGAGGGGCACCGCGACTGCTGCCTTCACAGCGCTGGCGGCTGCGTGGAGGAGTCGGAGCGGCGATTACATCGCGCACAGCTGCCCGCTCCGCCTCGCCCCCTTCTCGCCGCCTCCCTCGCCACGCTCCTCACCAGCGCGCTCCTCACCAGCGCGCTCCTCACCAGCGCGCTCCTCACCAGCGCGCTCCTCACCAGCGCGCTCCTCACCAGCGCGCTCCTCACCAGCGCGCTCCTCACCAGCGCGCTTCACCGCTGAGGCTTCGACTCCGGCTGCGTCTGCGGGCGAGTGAGGAACCGATCACTGAGCCGGCGTCCGGGCCATGCCGCGCGGCGCCCCCTGCGGCCCCCACCCACCAGGATAATCACCAACAACATCATCATCATCACATGCAGCAGCAGCAGCACGCGTAACACCCCCCCCCCACTCCATCCTGCCCCTTCCCGCCAGTAACTCACCGCGACCACAGAAGCAACAGCAGCAGGGGCAGAGGCATCGCCAGCGGCGGCGATGGTGGTGGCGGTCATGGTGGCTGATGGTGACAGTGATGTTGGAGGTGGTGGCGGTGGTGATGATGGCGGTGGTGGTGATGGTTCTTGTCGTGACCGGGGCGATGTCGCAGCTCGATGCAAAAACCGCGGTGGCGCGCGCCTCGCTCGCTACCTCCGCCCTCCACGTAGCCGATTTCCTTACGGAACTTTCAATTCTCTCCCAATACCACAGTCGCGCTCTCCCCCTCGCACACTCTCCCCTGCACTCTCCCCTGCACTCTCACACTCTCTTTCTCTCTCTTTGCCTCTGCCCTGCTCGCCCAGCAGCGGCTGTGGATCTCACGCGAATCTGCTCAACGCGTCCAATTATCTGCGCGACAGCGGCGGCGGCTGTTGGGCCAGACCGATGTTGTGGCTGTCCTTGTACCACAGCCGCTGCTGTGACTGCCGTTGCGATTGCCCGCTGGTGGTGTTGTTGCGGTGGTAACAGTTATTGTAGTCTGCTGTTGTTGTGAGCCGCTGCTGTGACAGCAACAGCTTGAAGCAACAGCTTGAAGCAACAGCTTGAAGCAACAGCTTGAATTTGGGAGTCGCCACTGATACTGAAACTGCGCCCGCCCGAGAGACGGACAGCCAGGACTGTGCTGGGCAGACACAGAGAGAGAGAGAGACACGGAGTCAGACACGGAGTCACGGAGAGAGACACGGAGAGAGAGACACGGAGTCAGACACCAGAGTCACGGAGAGAGACACGGAGAGAGACACGGAGAGAGAAACGGAGAGACACACGGAGAGAGACACGGAGTCACAGAGAGAGACATGGAGTCACAGAGAGAGACACGAAGTCACAGAAATAGACACGGAGTCAGACACGGAGTCACAGAGAGAGAGACACGGAGAGAGACACGGAGTCACAGAGAGAGTCACAGAGAGAGACACGGAGAGAGACACGGAGAGAGACACGGAGAGACACGGAGAGAGTCACGGAGAGAGACACGGAGTCACAGAGAGAGACACGGAGAGAGACACGAAGAGAGACTCGGAGAGAGACACGGAGAGAGTCACAGAGAGAGACACGGAGAGAGACACGGAGAGAGACACGGAGAGACACGGAGAGAGTCACGGAGAGAGACACGGAGTCACAGAGAGAGACACGGAGTCACAGAGAGAGACACGGAGTCAGACACCGGAGTCACAGAGAGAGACACGGAGAGAGACACGGAGAGAGACACGGAGAGACACGGAGAGAGTCACGGAGAGAGACACGGAGTCACAGAGAGAGACACGGAGTCACAGAGAGAGACACGGAGTCAGACACCGGAGTCACGGAGAGAGTCACGGAGAGAGACACGGAGAGAGACACGAAGAGAGCCACCGAGTCACAGAGAGAGACACGGAGTCACAGAGAGAGACACGGAGTCACAGAGAGAGACACGGAGTCAGACACCGGAGTCACGGAGAGAGTCACAGAGAGAGACACGGAGAGAGACACGGAGAGAGACAGGGAGAGACACGGAGTCACAGAGAGAGAGACACGGAGTCAGACACCGGAGTCACGGAGAGAGTCACAGAGAGAGACACGGAGAGAGTCACGGAGAGAGACACGGAGAGAGACACGGAGTCACAGAGAGAGACACGGAGAGAGTCACGGAGAGAGACACGGAGAGAGACACGGAGAGAGTCACGGAGAGAGACACGGAGAGAGACACGGAGAGAGACACGGAGTCACAGAGAGAGACACGGAGAGAGACACGGAGAGAGACACGGAGAGAGACACGGAGTCACAGAGAGAGACACGGAGAGAGACACGGAGTCACAGAGAGAGACACGGAGTCAGACACCGGAGTCACGGAGAGAGACACGGAGAGAGTCACGGAGAGAGACACGGAGTCACGGAGAGAGACACGGAGTCACGGAGAGAGACACGGAGTCACGGAGAGAGACACGGAGAGAGTCACGGAGAGAGACACGGAGTCACGGAGAGAGACACGGAGAGAGTCACGGAGAGAGACACGGAGTCACGGAGAGAGACACGGAGAGAGTCACGGAGAGAGACACGGAGTCACAGAGAGAGACACGGAGAGAGACACGGAGAGAGACACGGAGTCACGGAGAGAGACACGGAGAGAGTCACTGGGAGCCAGCACGACTCGCGGGAGAGCGGAGTCCAAATTCTCATCACGCGCCTCGCGCCTCCCCCGCACCCCCCCCCCCTCTGACCTCATCCCCTTCCCGCTCCGCCTTTGTCTCTGGCCCCCGGACCCCGCTCGCCCCCCACCCCCTCCCATGGGGGCCACTCGGTCCGGATCCCCGTGCTGCGTGGAGGGGTTTAGGGGAGGGAGCCGGAGGAGGGGGGCGGATGCAGGAGGGAGAGGGGGGGCGAGGAAGGGGGAGGAGGGGCGAGGAAGGGAGAGGGGGGGCGAGGAAGGGGGAGGAAGGGGGCGAGGAGGGGCGAGGAGGAGGAGGGGGAGGCGAGGAGGAGAGGGGGGCGACGAAGGGGCGAGGAGGAGGAGGGGGGGCGAGGAAGAGGAGGGGGGCGAGGTGGAGAAGGGGGGGCGAGGAGGAGGAGGAGGGGGGGCGAAAAGGAGGAGGGGGGGCGAGGAGGAGGAGGGGGGGCGAGGAAGAGGAGGGGGGCGAGGAGGAGAAGGGGGGGCGAGGAGGAGGAGGCGGGGGGGCGAGGAGGAGGAGGGGGGGCGAGGAGGAGGAGGGGGGGGCGAGGAGGAGGAGGGGGAGGCGAGGAGGAGGAGGGGGGGCGAGGAGGAGGGGGTGGCGAGGAGGAGGAGGGGGGGCGAGGAGGAGCGAGGAAGAGGAGGGGGGCGAGGAGGGGGGGGGCGAGGAGGAGGAGGGGGGGCGAGGAGGGGCGAGGAAGAGGAGGGGGGCGAGGAGGAGGAGGCGAGGAGGAGGAGGGGGGGCGAGGAAGAGGAGGGGGGGGCGAGGAGGAGGAGGGGGTGGGGGCGAGGAGGAGGAGGGGGGGTGAGGAGGAGGAGGAGGGGGGGTGAGGAGGGGGGGGGGCGAGGAGGAGGGGGGGTGAGGGGGGGGGCTCTCTGCGCTGCGCGTCGGTCGCCGTTTTTCTTCGTACAGTGGATGCGACCTCCGATCGACGCAGATATTCAGATATGTTGCCCTAAGTGCGAGCATATAAATGGGCCGTTATTCAATTATCATAATTAAACTGGCTCTTCGTCAATAAACTGCGATATGAAGCCGCCCCCTCATAATTATGGAGTGTATTTGGCCATACTTCACCACGCTGGTCAGTAGGAATTGGTGGGCAGGTCGAGGCGAAGGGCGCTTCCAGCGACGGTGGTTCAGCTGTCGCTCGCCAGCCGCTGTTAGCCGCGGTCGTGAAGGAATCGAGCAACTCAAGCAGGCGCGCTAACCGCTGCGCCACCGCTCCTCCTCCCCTTTACAATTATACGGTACAATACAACTCAATACACCGTCCCTTACAATACAATACAACACAATGCACCGTCCCTTACAATGCAATGCCCAGCGTCTGCAAGAGACCTTAACTGGAAGGAGTGAAACGCGTCCGTGGGTGTGAGCTCGTGACGAGGAGGACGAGGAGGAATCACATTCAAAGGGGAATGCAGAGTTCGAGAGATGATGATGGTGATGATGATAGCAACAACGGTAAAGGCGCAGTCCTGCAAGTGCATCCCCACGCCCTTGCTAGTGAAAGGGGCCTCTACTGCAGAGGGAGATCAAGACCATAATATTCTATTATTATAGTATTATTATAGTATTATTATTCTAAAGAGCCCTACTCCAGGGGGTGCTTTGTGTTACTCTGCCGCGCTTGTCAAGTTACCGCACCGCCTGCCGATCGACTGATCGTGGTGCCGCCGTGCCCACAGCTGGGTGGGCAGTGGCCAGAGCGGGGTGTGATGTAATCAAAAACAATAACAACAATCATTAAATTACAACAGCAATCATAATACACCAATTATAATGACATCGCACATTCACCCTCCAACACTTGTGTCCAGTGTGGAGTAGTCGCCCAGCATAGCCTCGACAGAGATAGAGAGAGCCTCTCTCCACTCTTCACGACCTGCAGGCGACTCTCGGCACTCCCATCAATTGCAGGGCTGCGCCTTTATCATTACCAATGAGCAAGAGTGACATGAACACGGATAACGTTGCGCGAGTGGTACGCACGTGGATAGTACGCACGCGGATCGCACGCACGTGAGTGGTACGCACGTGGGTGGTACGCACGTGGATAGCACGCACGTGTACAGTACCCACGTGGATAGTACGCACGTGGATAGCACGCACGTGGATAGTACGCACGTGGATAGTACGCACGTGGGTGGTACGCATGTGGACAGTACGAACGTGAATGGTACGCACGTGGATAGCACACACGTGGATAACAGGCACGTGGATAGCACACACGTGTACAGTACCCACGTGGACAGTACGCACGTGGATAGTACGCACGTGTACAGTACCCACGTGTGTAGTACGAACGTTGGTGGTACGCACGTGGATAGCACGCACGTGGAGATGCGCATGGGCAGCAGCAGCAGCAGGTCGCCAAGTTGCGCGCCGCGGGGTCGCTTCTCGCTCTTAAAAGAGAGGGGGTCTGGGGGTGGGGGGCTAGGGGACCCCTCGTTGTCCCGCGTGCCCCTGCTAGCGGGGGCTGCCGCACCCGGAGCTGATGTCACTCGGCGCGTTTCGCAGAGACCAGCTCGGAAAACTGGACAGTGCCAGATCGCGGATGGAAAGGGGAGCGGAGGGGGAGTTTCGGGGTAGTGGAGAGGGGGGGGCGGTTGAGTTAGGGCGATGGGTTCCGGGCGGTTTGCGCAGACAAGGCTGGAGGGGGTGTAGGTGGTCGGGGCACAGTGGTGGTGATGATGGGGGGGGGGGGGGCTCCTAAAAGATCGTGTCGGTCCCCTCTCTGTGATCCCCACAACCTCTCTACGCGCGAGAGAATCGATTTGATCTGTAAACCACAGGCGCGCGCAATCTTGTGTGTGTGTGCGCGTGTGTGCGCGTGTGAGTGTGCGTGCGTGTGTGTTCGCGTGTGAGTGTGCGCGTGTGTGAGTGTGCGCGTGTGTGAGTGTGCGCGTGTGTGAGTGTGCGCGTGTGTGAGTGTGCGCGTGTGTGAGTGTGCGCGTGTGTGAGTGTGCGCGTGTGTGAGTGTGCGCGTGTGTGAGTGTGCGCGTGTGTGAGTGTGCGCGTGTGTGAGTGTGCGCGTGTGTGAGTGTGCGCGTGTGTGAGTGTGCGCGTGTGTGAGTGTGCGCGTGTGTGAGTGTGCGCGTGTGTGAGTGTGCGCGTGTGTGAGTGTGCGCGTGTGTGAGTGTGCGCGTGTGTGAGTGTGCGCGTGTGTGAGTGTGCGCGTGTGTGAGTGTGCGCGTGTGTGAGTGTGCGCGTGTGTGAGTGTGCGCGTGTGTGAGTGTGCGCGTGTGTGAGTGTGCGCGTGTGTGAGTGTGCGCGTGTGTGAGTGTGCGCGTGTGTGAGTGTGCGCGTGTGTGAGTGTGCGCGTGTGTGAGTGTGCGCGTGTGTGAGTGTGCGCGTGTGTGAGTGTGCGCGTGTGTGCGCGCATGATAATGCGCGTGTGTGTGTGCGTGTGTGTGTGCGTGTGTGTGTGAGTGTGCGCGTGTGTGAGTGTGCGCGTGTGTGAGTGTGCGCGTCTGCGTGTGTGAGCGCGTGATAGTGCGAGTGTGCGTGTGAGTGCGCGCGTGTGTGTGTGCGCGTGATAGTGCGCGCGTGTGTGTGTGTGTGTGCTTCTGTGCGTGAGCGCGTGT